TCTGCTCTGGGGCATAGGGTAGGATTCTGCCTCAACAACCAAAAAAAAAAAGCAAAAAAATAAAAATAAAAAATAAGCAAGGAAATAAAAAAAAAATCTTGAACATTACCTTAAGTATCTTATATTACTAAAATTAAGGTATAAAGGACCGGTGGAGGGCTGAGCCTCTACCTTGATAAAAGATGGTATCAGTAAGAAGGGCACATTATTTCCCCTTTTCAACCTCCCACGTGTCCCAGTGGGTCCCAGTAGGGAGCTGGTCTGAACACACCGTTTATAGGAAAGGAGGGGCTGTAAGCCAGGGCTTCACTTTTGCAGAGGTGGTGTCAAGTCCCAGCAGAAAGCTGAACATTCACTCAATCCAGACCCAGAAAATATACCTGAACAGGGTGACTGACTAAAAAAAGAGTATAAATATGATGCTACGTCTTACAATATAACACCTCAAATGTCTAGGATATGACTGGAAATCACTCATCATACCAAGAATTCAGGTAAAAAGTGACACAATAGGAACAACTGTGTCAAACTGAATACAAGCAGCGAAATGGCAGCCATATATTCAACCACATCAATAATTACATTAAATGCTAATGAACTGAATGCCCTTATTAAAAATGCAGAGATAGGGGCAGCGCCTGTGGCTCAAAGGAGTAGGGTACCGGCCCCATACGCCAAAGGTGGAGGGTTCAAACCCAGCCCCGGGCAAAAACTGCAAAAAAAAAAAATAAATAGGCTCAGCGCCTGTGGCTCAGGTGGCTAGGGCACCAGCCACATATGCCTCAGGTGGCAGGTTTGAGTCCAGCCTGGGCCCGCCAAACAACAATGACGGCTGGAACCAAAAGGTGGTCAGGCGTTGTGGTCCCAGCTGCTTGGGAGGCTGAGGCAGGAGACTCACTTGAGCCCAGGAGTTGGAGGTTGCTGTGAGCTGTGATGCCACCGCACTCTGCCAAGGGGGACAGTTTGAGGCTCTGTCTCAAAAATATAAATAGGCTCAGCACCTGTGGCTCAAGTGGCTAAGGTGCCAGCCACATACACCTAAAGTGGCAGGTTCGGATCCAGCCCGGGCCGACAAAACAACAATGACTGCTGCAACCAAAAAATAGCCAGGCCTTGTGGCGGGCGCCTGTAGTCCCAGCTACTTGGGAGGCTGAGGCAGGAGACTCACTTGAGCCCAAGAGTTGGA